GTATTTAATGAATAACTATGCAAAGTATAGGATTGTAAGGATTACAAAAAATGGAAATAAAAAACTATCAGAGAGTAGAAAGGAAATTTAGATGCTAAAAGTATTAATAGGTGTTGTTGATTGATTGTCCATATGTTGTTTTATCCAACCTTCTATTCCTTTTATAAATTATTCAGTTGAGACTGTTACCCCTACAAAATTCAAAGCTTGTTTATGAAATATCAGGGATTCATTAGCATGGCCTATGTGATTTGTGGCACGATGCATGATATTCCCTCATGGTCTTGTATGTCTAGTCATCTTGAGTCTTAAGGGTTAAATTAGGCTTCTGCGTGGCCCGCTCTTCTTTTCTAGCAATGGATCAAGTTATGCTGCTTGGGCCAGTCATGTCTTTAACCTCAATTCTTTTCATTGGACTGTTATTTCAACTTTAGGCTCAAATAACAATCAATTCATTTTTTTTTTCAAAAAATAAATGAGATGGAATGAGGTTCATAACAATTTGATATTTTTTGTCCAAGACTTCTAACAAATCCAAATTGTACAAATGCATAACATGTCCTTCTTAACCCCCCCCAAAACACATAGTATAATCTTCTTGCATTATCGTGAGAAATTTGAACCCACCATTTATCTCCACAAACGCATGAGCTCGCACTAGAATAATCAATTGGACAAAGCAATTCAAACTTCTATCCTAACATCAAGATTCAAGTCTAGGTGGCGTCATCTTCCATGGATATTAATCCCAACCCAACAAAGAATATATAATAATAGTATAACCAACATATTATAAGTTTAGCAAGAGCCATAAGCATGGAGCCTCAACTAACAAACTGTGGAATTTGAACAAGCAATGTGATGTGCATCAAACATCAATAACCTTGGGGACACATGCTAGACAATTACTCACAGCAGTAAGCATATATTAGCAAACATTCTATTCACAATAAATTAGAGAGCCAACCTCAATAATAAGCAAAGCACTTCCTACATGAGCCAAGGTCAACCTCGAGCGATCTTTCTTCGTCTCATTTTTATAGACCCAACTTGAGTTTTTCTCCATTAATAATCCAATCAATCATAATCATATCATTAATAATTTCATTTGACTTTGCCTTAATTATTTCATGTTTTCAAATTTTCCCTTATCTGATTAATTTGACTTCTCAAAATTTTTGATTTTCCTTTAATTAAGTCAAATTTGATTGGAACGTGATTGATGGGATTTGGGGTCAATAAAACAAGAAAAGATTATTATTTTTTAATCACAAAACCCATTTTATTTCTTTTTTATTTATTTTATTATGTAATTTTATTAGTCTTTTTTATATATTTATTTTCAATTTATATTTGAAAGCCCGAGCAAGAGATGGTGTTCACAGACATTTATACTTTCTGGCTAAATTTATTTTTTTAATTTATGTTTAATGGATGCTTTAGTGCTTAATATGATTTTATTTATTCTCATACCATTGGATGACCAACTCTAATATGTGCTTGGGTTTTGGATTCACCTTTGAAGGAAGGGGATGGTAATTAGACCATTTATTAAGCAACCCAAGATTATAATTTATCTAACTTGCGCTTAAGAGAGACATATACTAAAGACCCTTAAGTAATCTTTGTCACTTGTGCATAATTGAATCAGGACTTCTCAAAAAAATCACTCCATCTCTGATTTTTTTATGAGTTGTATAATAATGTGAAGCCATCACTTTTTATATATAAATATAACAGTAAAAATAGAGAGGAGTGGATGAAGACATTGTTGGTAATTGTATTTGCAAATTATTTAATATCATTTACATTATTTTTTTCCTCAAGCTTTATAAAATCAAATTTTAATTTAGCTTGGTTTCAAATTGTGAGGACAATAAATTTGAAATACAAACAAAATCAAGCATTTTATAATTTATCCAATTTTGTTAGAATAAAATACAAGGATATATTTTCTGTTTTTTTTTTTAAATTATAGTGATCTTTTTTTTTTTTGCTTTTAAAACCTATACTACTTTGGTTAGATTTTAAAACTTTAAGAAATATTTTATTTTATTAAAATTATAAAATACTTAATTTTCTTAATTAAAGCTATGTTAAAAAATTAAATTTTTTTATCTATTTCCATAGTCTAATTATTTGTCATTAGAGTTGAATTTGGATATCTTGAGCATATTCAAGTCAGCTTGAATTAGCTAAGCTTGTAGAAAAACTTGATTGCCAAGCTTGACTCAAACCTCTTTAGGCCCGCCTAAATATATGAATTTCCAAATTATTAATTTTTCATTTTAAATTTAGTTTTTACTTTAAAATTAATTATTTTTATTGTATAAAAATATAAAATATATTTTTTGAAATACTTAAAGGATCTTGAATGCTCAAATTTTTTTAAAAAAATATGTGAGTCTTAAAATTTAAAAATTAATATTAAAATATATTTTATATATTATTTTGACATATTTTATAGATTAAAAAATAATAAAAATATGACAATGTAAGTATTTTTATTTTTTTTCAAATATTTATAACAATGTACACTAATGGCAGCGTATTCAATTACACAGATAATTTTCTCTCCTACTACGAATCACATACTACCTTTCATAAATTAAAATCCCAAACCCCAATTGCCACAGCAATATCATTTAGTTAGCTTGTACTTGTTTAAATAGCATTAGTTAATCTTATCTTTTTTTCATAAAAAGAAAGACAACAACTTAAATTTTAAAAAATTAATTAATATTTAAAGTATTTTATATAGTTTTAATGAGTTGGGCCCAAATTATTTTAGAAAAATAAAATATTCTTTTATTAAGAATGATCCTAAATTTTTAGGTTTATTTAGGATAACATAAATTACTGTCTCTACTATCTTTGTCTTTTCCTATTCAAGAAAATTTAAAAATTATATGAAAATTAATAAAATAAACATAAGTTATATTAATTAATTTATCTCTTATTATGATTTGTTTTTTCATATGTATATGAAATATTAATTTTTATCAATATATGAAATATTATTTTAGTCCATTTATATATTTTATCTTTAAAAAATTTTCTTATAAATAAGTTTACAAAATTAAGAAATTAAGATATGTTTAATAAAATGAAAACATATAGTAAGCATTAAATTATTTTTTAGTAACCTAAATGAATTTTAATTAATATTTATTTAAAAATATGTTTTGTTTTAAAATATATGATTTAAGTGAGGTTGATGGAGATGAAATATAAAAAATTAGAATAATTGTTATATAGCTTTGAACTTGTAATTTTGCAAAAGTTTATATAAATTTTAAAAATAAAACAGGTTAATGATCAATCTAACATTTAAACTATAGGTTCAAGAATTTTTATATCCTAAACTCATTTTCGATGCCATGAATCCCTTTAACTCTTAAAAAACATTCAATTTTTCTTCTACTATTGATAAAAATGAATTTTGACTGTTAATTAATCAAAAAATGATAAAAAAATATATCAAAAATTATAAAAAATAATGAAAAACTAAAAATTATAGAAAATGATTACAAATTTACAAAAAAATTCAAAATTATAGAAAGGAATTTTACTATAATTTTAAAGTATTTTTCTATCTTTTTTAATTAAAGTTAATATTACTTTTGTCATAATAAGGGCGATATTCAGGAGTGGATCCAACTTCAAATGTGAGGGGGCCAAGTTTTTAATTTACTAAATATTATTAATGTAAGTAATTTAAAACTAATTATTAAATAATAAAAATAATTTTTTAAAATATTTAAACTTATATACAAAATTTTGCCATACATAGGAAAATTTTAAAAACTATGTATTATTTCAAATGATTAATTCATCACGTTAAAGAAAAATAATACTCCCTTCGTTTAAAAATGTAAGACATTTTTTGAGGGATTTTATGTTAAAAATGTAAGGTATTTTTAATCTTTGAGGTGTAATTATTATTTTTTTTTCAAAGTGCCTCTATTGACAATGACTTTATATTTATTATAGGGTGTTTAATAAGGGTAAATATAAAAATATAGAGTTAGTTTGAAAGTAGGTAACTATTTTATTGAGAGGTGGGATTCAGTTAAAAATACCTTACATTTTTAAACAAAGGTAATACTAATAAACATCATGCATCATTTTTTTTATCAATTGAAAATCAATGTTAATCAATAAAATTTTTTAATAAATTAATAAATTATATATTTTATATAATAATATCTATCATATATAATAAGTAATTATATAATAGGCATATTTTATATGAGTATTAATATTATATATACACACACATTTATATACGCAAGCATGGCTAATGAATTAAATAAAAACTATTCGCAGGTGTTTTTTTCTTTGTAGTTGATATTTTAACTTTATATAATTATGAAAGGGGGTGGAACTTGGGGAGGGCCAAGGCGCCCCTCATGATCAACATAGTTCCACTTTTGATGATATTGTATTATTTTTAAAAGTTAAAAAATAATTTTGTACAAAATGAGTTTATGGTTTTTAACGTTCCTCCACCAATAATTTAGGATAATTACAATTGAGCTCAAATAAAATAATTATTTTTTAATTAGAGTAATAGAATTGACGTGATTGAAATTGAAATTTTATTCAAATCTTGTATCACATTAAGGGCATCAAATTATGCCGTATGTGAAAATAATAAAAAAACTAAACTATTTTATTAGAAAAAAAACATTTCCCACGTATATCTTTTCACCTTTTTAACAATACATATTTTTATTTATATAATAAAAAAATTTGTCATCTGATATTTAAAAGGTTTATATATCTATGAAACAATCAACAAAGTTCAATATAATTCTAATTCTAAAACTCTGAAGAGTTTTATCCAAAAAAAAAAATCAAAAACTATAGCAGATGTGCTTCGTGCAGTTTTACTTTTATAATATAATTTTAAAAAAAAAAACAAAAAACAAGTAAGGTCGGAAATCAGAATTCAACCCCCAAGGGCAGTTGTTTTCGGCGTCTACCAGGTATGCCTTTCCTCCATCATCTTCTTCTCCCTTCCTTCTCTCTTTTCCTCTCACCCTCCGTCTCAACTTCTTCCTTCATTCCCATTCTCCAAATCCCAACGAGGTCTCCGATGCCGTTGATTCATTCAATCGCTTGCTCCGTCAGCGTCCCCCGCCCTCCATATTCGAAATTAAAAAACTTTAGGAGCCATTGCCAAGATGAAGAAGTACCGCATTGCTATTTCACTTTGTTCTTAGTTGGAGTTGAAGGATTTCGCTCCATGTCTAGTTTCCCTGAGCATTTTAATCAACTGTTACTGCCATGTGGGTCAGATGAATTCTGCTTTCTTTGTATTGGGCAAGATTTTCAAGATCGGTCTTCAAGCGGATAATACAACTTTGACTACACCATTGAAGGGACTCTGTGTCAATAACATGGTTGGCGAAGCATTGGATTTTCACGATGACCTCCTTTCAAAAAGATATTTTTTTGAATGAACTTAGTTACGGCATATTAATCAATGGATTATGTAAAATGGGGAAAACGAGGTCTGCTGTTAAATTACTCCAGAAGCTGCCGAGACTTGCAGTGAAGCCTGATTAGTTATCTACAGCACAGTAATCGACGGGCTTTGTAAGGATGGATTTGCAAGTGAAGCACTTTGTTTGTTTTCAGAAATGATTGGCCTAGGAATATTTCCCAATACAGTCATATACAACATTCTAATTAATGGGTTTTGCAAAATCCATCGTTGGAAAGAAGTTACTCAGTTGCTCAATGATAGTTCCGAAGAGACATCAACCTGAATGTTGTCACCTTTATATTTTGGTGGATGCACTTTGTAATGATGGAAGGATTATAGAAGCTCAAGGTGTGTTTGCCATGATCATCAAGTTTGATCAAAAGCCCACTGTGGTTTCCCATAACGGATTAATGGATGGATATTGTATGGTCAACAATTTAAAGGAAGCAACGGCAGTATTTAATACGATGATTAAAAGCGGTATGAGACCAGATGTTTTTAGTTATAATGTTTTGATTAATGGATATTGTAAGAATAAAAGATTGGATGAGGCCATAAATCTCTTTAAGAAAATGCGTTTGAGAAATCTGGTTCCCGACAGCGTAAGTTATACTTGTCTTATTGACGGCTTGTGCAAAGGAGGAAGAATCTCATTTGTTTCTGATCTTCTCGATGAGATGCATCAAAGTGGTCATCCCCCTGATATAATCACTTTTAATGTATTGTTACATGCATTGTGCAAAAGGCGGGATCTTGATCGAGCAATTGCGTTATTTGAACATAGTTTTAGAGAAAAAATCCGACCTACTGACTGGACCTATACTATTCTTATCGATGGTTTGTGCAGAGGTGGAAGATTAAATGAGGCGAGAGAGATTTTCCAGTATCTTTTGATGGAAGGTCAACATCTAAATGTTGTCTCCTACAATGTTATGATCAAAGGACTTTGCAAAGAGGGTTTGTTTGATGAGGCAGAGACGCTGCTTGATGAAATGGAAGACAGCGACTGCATCCCTAACATAATAACCTTTATAACTATTATTGGACATCTTCTTGATAAAAATGAGAATGATGAGGCTGAGAAGCTTCTTCGTATAATGGTTTCTAAGGGCTTGCCAGAAAATTGAAACAAGATGGGGACCTCTAGTGCTTGTTTATTTCTCATAAAAGTTGTTGGATTCTGATTTCTGTTGATGTTCTGTTCAAGTCATACATTTAGTAAATTTTTTTTGTCTCTGTGCCGTTAGCAATGTCAAAATTTTGTCTTAAAATGGCTTTTTTCTTTCTTCTTAATGGAGGATTGCTAAATTCATTCAACCGTTTGATATGCATCTCTGTGTTGCTAATGCATTAGTGTCTCAGATTGCTATGAGAGTTTTTTTTTTCTCATGTCATCAGTTTGGTTGAAAGATTTCAAACTCAATGGAACAATACTTTTCACTTCACTGAAGAACATGAACTTGTATATATACTGTACGTTGATGTGAAATAAAGCAAGTGTCTTAATGCCACAATCTTATGGTACTAGCATAGTTCTTCAGCTACAATTTTTGAAGTTTCTGTTTTGGATCCTGCTTCTCTCCTCTAACCCCTCTCCCCACTTCCTGTCCACTAATTCTAAACGATGTTGTTTTGCTGATTCTAGTAGAATCTCTGCCATTCATTTTATTATCTAATACAGCTGTTGCTTGTGGAATCTGGAGAGAAGAGACCGAATCATGTTCAGCCCTCATCATTCGCCTCTTTCCATTTCATTCTGCAATGATGAATTCTCGTTTCCCTCGAACCATATCAAGCCTCAAAAGTTCTTCATCATCGGTGAATGTTCCAAGATCTTCATCGTCAGCATCTTCATTTTTGACTTAGCCCCCATCGTTAGTTCATCATCCAGAGCTTAGAAAGTTGAGCTTCGTGGTAAGGATTCATGTTCGATGGCTTTGTCGAAAGCCTTCACCCATCCTTTATCCTTGATCCTTCTACAATCTCTATGGTAGGGATGGGTTGTGATTTTTTAAAATAAATTAAAATTGTGTTTTATTATTCACCTATTCAACTAAGGTGAGGATAATTGATTTGTTCATGTCTGAAAGAGGAATCTCAATCTTGGCAAGGTGCTTCCATCTAATTCAATGTTGTTATGGAAAGTAATTGAATGAGTTTGATTCAGTGTTGTTTGATCTAAATGAATTTTCTGCTTTGATAAGTATTGAACATGATTGCTTTGGTATTGAATCTGATTATGCATTGATGGACAGGCTTGCATTGATTTTAAAGTTTGAACACTGTACTTATTGTGTTGATGGGCTGATAAATACTGAACACTGTAATTTTGAAAAATGCTTTGCATACATATGGAAATATCAAAAGTGACTTTACCATTTTTTCCCCTTTAAAATTGTGTCTAATATGTTTGTTTATATATCAGAACTGACTTTACGATTTCCCCCGCCCCCTCTTTTGTCTTTGTTTTGGAGCCCTCATTGTATCACAAGTGACTACTATTTCATATCTATAGTAGTCCTATTCCATGTGTGTGTGTGTGTGTGAAACTGTTATTATGGGTTTCAAACAAGCATTAGTACAAAGGAGGAGATACTGGAAGAGATAGGATGATCACTACGCTGGTTTTGCATGACTTGTGAATTGGGATTGACAAAATGCACAAATTGAAACTTTTCAAAATTTCATATATTGCTCTTTTGCCTTGTTATATTGTGGTAGATAATGACAATAACTTTACACTGTGAAACTTTATAATTGCAATACAAAAGAAAGCAATAGCTAAAATCAACCAATGAGTTGTGAACACAATGAGTTACATGACCAAAACGAGAGAAGCTCAAGTATAGTAAATATTATACAATCATTTCAAGAGCTATCATGACCAAAAAAAAGAGAGCCCAATTGTATCTAACAGGAGCTGTGATTGGAACAGGTGTAGAAGCAAAGCAATAGCTGGAATAAAAGGAAGCAAAAGCCGAAGCAAAAGGATGCAAGAAGAAAATTAAAACAAAAGGATGCAAAAAGAGCTGAAATGAAATAGCTGCGAAGAGATGAGCTGAATTGGATGACTTCATTTAGGAGGACCTAAGTTCATATGTGAGCCTATATATTTGAACCTCAACAATATAAATGAATATCGTATTGTCTTGAAACTGTAAAGTGTAATAAAAGCTATATTGATTTTGAACAAAAGTGACTTAATTTTCCCTGAAATCAGTCATGATATGAGACCCATCTTTTGTTGAATTTTTAAAGTGTTTCATTGCATTCCTTGAAATATTCCATGTGTACAAGGCATACTTTATTTCTAACATCACTTTTTATAATGCACATGCCATTGCAATCTCTTGGTTAGTAAAAATTGTTAGTGGCCTCACGTTTTTGTGTGCAAGAAAAAAAAAAGTTTCAAAGAATCTTTTGAAAACTTAATGATCTCATCATATAACAATGCGGTTTCAAATATTACTCCTTTGTAATGGTTGTTGCGGAGAAAATGGCAAGATGTCCATTATCCCAATTTGTAAAGTAAGTTGTATTAAGTAAAATGATTTCTCAAAGCAAACATAGTCAATCAATATGCACGCATCATTCCAAACACATTTGTCACTTGCCCCTCCATATCCTTTTATAAGCATGAAAAAAAAGATGAATTTTTCATCAATTTTTCTTCAAATTAATTAAAGATACATCCAACTTCACCATATGACATAATTCATTGTCATCTTGAATAAAGATAATTTTTCACATGAGTTCTCATATATCCCAAATTGATTTTTCCTCCTACATATGCACTTGTCAGCTTAAATGATGATTTTTTTTTATTAATATGGCTTTTTCAGCAATTTTTAATTCATAAATATAAGCAACAAGGACAATCATTTAAAATAAATCTGAGAATTACATAGTATAATAAACAAAAATATTGCATATTGGGGTAGTATGTTTGATATTAATTATTCAAAATCGCATTCTTCTAGCTTCTTCCAGTCCCCGCCAAGTCTAAAAACAGCACATACAAAACTGAAAGAAAACTTAAAAAAAAAAAACTAATTAAAAAAAAGAACATATTTACCGGCACCTTGTGAACAAAAGAATAGAAACAAAGACATAAAAGAAGTTAACATCATTTATTAACTCATAGAAGGTATGTGTGCGAAGACTAAGAAAGAAACATAAAAATCAATGAAGAAGTAACCAGCAAATACAAGTAATGAAAACCAAAGAACATTCTTCTTCTATGATGATTTCTTCCCACGCATCACCTGCAAAGTTTTTTACAGGCAAAAAGATGAATCTCCCACTTTGCTGGAGAGAAATCTGGCATTACCAGTAATGTCGAAATTAACATCTGCAAAGTCTTTGTTTGTTTGACTTTCACTGACACGTACACAAGTATATACCAACATAGGGGCATAAACTTTTCTAGATTCATTTGTATTTATACGGAATACACATATTTAATAAGTACTTTAGTTTGAAAGCTGCATGATTCTGACTAGGGAAAGCATTTTATAATGCCAAATAGACTAATATTTTTATTTATGGACTTAGCACTTGAATTTTTTGTGAAGTTTTTGCATTAGACGCAGACAGTCACCATGTGTGTTAGCATATTCTTTCCAGGTAACTTCGAAGAATATTCATTTTTATGCCTGAGAGACACAGATTTTATTATGCATTTCTCTTTCATTGACTTAGTCTTCAACTCAACAAATCCTTGAAGTAATTGACGAACATATAGTATTTGCTTAGTTAAGCCCAACTACGTTAGCTAATAATTATGGGTTTTCTTGAGGGAAGCTTATCGACAGAAAAAAGGGCAGAGCCTTTGAACTGTGAGAGCACATGAAAGGGAAGTAACTGTGAGCTTCATTTCTTACCACATCCATTTATTGACAATCGCTCTAATTATTCCTTTTTTTTTAAATTAGTAATAAGCGATCCGTTATTTGAAACCGATAGTTTTAACTAATCCTTATTTAAGTCGAGTCAGGCCTCAAATGAGGAATAGCTCTCAAAAACACATCATTTCTATTTTCACTGCCCTGTGGATCTAATATGAGCCAACGAGGTTGGCAATCCCTCTTTTTGTTTCCCAAATGAGGGTGAAGATTCAAATATGATCCCCTCACTTGAGTTACTTGATCAATTTTAATATTTTATTTATTTATTTTTTCAATTAGAGTCCGATGAATAGATTGGGGTCCTTTAAATTATTTATATATTTATTTTGAGATTAACAGTGGATTTGGGTTGGGATTTTTGCATAGAGTCTTAAATGAGAAATTTGGACCATTCAAATTTGATGTTTTTTATTTTACATTTTTAAAATAAAAATTATATAAATTATAAAAAATTTTAATAAATATCATTTACTAGTCTGAACAGTCTAGATTTAATATGAATGATCCACATTTAATTTATAAAAATTGTAAAAAAAATTTAATATTAAACCTAAATTATCTAGAATATATTTGAAAGTTAATGTATAAAAACTTTGATATTAAATGTGGACTAGTCAAATCAAATTTGGACTATCCTAAATAGTAAACAGATTTATTAAATTTTTTTACAATTTATATAATTTTTATTTTAAAAATGTAAAATAAAAATATTAAATTTAATTTGTTCAAATTAATTCAGAGAGCCAAGATTCCACACCTCGGTTGGGCTAACAACCATCCAACCACTAGAGAAATATGCTGAATGTTTTGTTGGACTTTTTTACTAGATCTTATTTTCTGATAATGATATTTTTTAAAGGATAAATTATACATTACTTCTCTAAATTTTGAATCATGTATATATAACTTTTTTAACATTTAAAACTTTACAAGAAACCCCATCAACTCTTCTATTTATATAAATAACTCTATACGATTAATTTTATATATTAATTATGTATACATAACTTAAAGTTTAGGGAGGTTATCCATTTATTAATCAAAGTTTGAGGACTTAAATGCACACAAAATAAAATTTAAAGAAATATATAATTAATAGCTAGGGGTTATTTGCATCAACCTAAAAGTTCAAGAAAATTTATTATAAATTTTTAAAAGTTAAGAGAGTTATTTGTATATGATTCAAAGTTTAAGAGAGTTTTTGTATAACTTAACCTTTTTTAAAATAAAACAAAAAATTAGATTTCTCAGTGCAATACACGAAATAAGTAATAACTTAAAATCAAATGGCAAAAATTTTGTAAAAAATGCATAATAATAATGATAATAAGAAATACTTAAATATATCAAGTGTACTATATCAATTGTGATCTGTTTAATAAAATATGATATTTAGATAGCATTAAATATAAATTAATTTTGATATAAATGGTAGTAGAAAGAGAAAATGTTAAAAATCAAATGTGTTCTATTATAAAAATAAAATTAATTTAAAAAATGTCATAAATTTTATTTAGATCACTTAAAATATTCTAATTAGATAAATTATAAATAACGTAACGCACTCAGTCTATTTTTAATAGTGATTAAGAAAGACACAAACTTGATGCAAACCATAAGTTGCATAAAGGCATAGCAATATCAATCAAATCTCCTTAAATGTGTGATTTGAATTTGGCTAAAAAGATCAGTAACCTGAAGCATTTCTCAAGCACTTGATGTTGGTAATATATAATTAGGAAAACTTCCCTTTCATGCATTTGATTGAATTAACCAAATGCATCGTTTAAAAGAAAATCATTGTCATTGATTCTGAAAATGTTCACTTCAAAAATTAACAACAAATCAAATCAATTTTAAAATCATCGAAATTAATTTCTCAAAATCCCGGCGTCAACACCAATAACTTCTACAAAATAATAAGTGAAAATTACATACAGCGGAACAAACTTATTTATAAATAAATGCTGTAAAATTAAAAAGTCACAACTAGATTCTTTAAGACTTGAAGATAATTTAAAATTAAAATAAAATAATAATATATTTATTAAATATATATATATTACATTAGTTAAAAAATTTACAATTACTTTATCAATAAGTTAAAAAATATAATTTTGGGCTTTTATGACTATAACTTTATGTATCTAATAATTAAACTAATTAGTTTAACTATTACATATGTGAAATTACAGTTGTAAAAAATTAAAATTATAGTTTTAAATTACTTATAAATTAGTTGTAAATTAATTACTTAACTGACGTAATATATGTTTAATAAGAGTATTATTATCTTTATAGCTTAATTTTAAATTATACTCAAGTTTCAAAAAATCTGATTGTAGTTTTTGAATTTCACTGAACTTATTTGTGAATAAGTTTGCCCCACAAGACCTATACGTAATTTTTTTAAATAATAATAACTTGAAGTAAAAGGTGGTTCAATATGTTTCTAAAGTTTATACATGCACCACTTACATACTTAGTCTTATATATTTAACATATTTTTATAAAAAAATAATCAATTTTTACAATTTCATCTAGTTTTGCTTTTAATTCTTATAATTTTTTTAATATTTCACTAAAAAACAAAAACTATAGATGCTTGAAAAACGAACATTACCTAATTTTTTTTTTAATTATAGGAATTAAAAATATTAAAAAAATTATAAGAACTAAAAGTAAAACTCCATAAAACTATAACATCTGATGATAGTATTTTTTTTCTATATTTATTCAATCAAATTAAAATAAGTAGATTTTAATGCATTAATATTATTAATAATAATAATTTATTATAGAATAAATAATATATAAAAAATCTACAAGTCTAGATTTAGTTGGAAATAAGTAGTTTAAATATATAATGCTAAGTATACAGGGTAAATGTGTGTGCAAGAACCAGTTTCAATACTCATCTACATATTTAATTATTATAAAAAATAAAAGTAAAAAATTATAAATTTACACTGTCTAGATTATATCTAAATGATCTAAAGATGATGAGTTTTCAATGCTCATCATACAAATGAGTATTGAAACTAGTTCATATATATATATATATATATATATTCTCTCCATTTAAAAATATATGATATTTTTTTAATGCGCTATGTTAAAAAATACTTCATTTTTAGTTTTTCAATGTGTGATTAAAGAATTTTTTTTTCAAAAGTATCCTTAAAAATAAATTACTCAACTATTCACCTTTAAGTGAGACATTGTATTAAATAATAACAAATACAAAAAGATAACATTAATTTAAAAAAATTAATTAATTTATTGAAGGGTGTAATATAGTTAAAAATGCTCTATATTTTTTTATCTACAAAAACACACACA